TTCAGTGAAAGGAAAAGAATGACCAGAATCAAGAAAAGCTTTTTGATTTTTCCTTCAGAATGAAGAGAGAAGAGCTAGAATATGTTTGAGGGCAATGGATTGAAGAAGTAAACAGACGTTGGAGATGAGAACCCGCGCCTCATCGTATCTTTTCTCTTCTACTTCATAACAGAAAACTTTTTTTTTTTTTTTGCCTTAAAGTCACGAAGTACAGAATTTTCAGTGGGCACACTGCCCTCAGCTAAATAACTCCTCTCATAGTTTTCCTTGCAGACAGATACAGCTGTTTGAGCTAATTACAGATCATTAAAGTGTTGGGTAGTTCTCTAGAGACCTCTTAAAAGAGGAGGCTCTCCTTGCCTTTGACTTCATTCCACTCCCTGGAGAGTCATGTTCCCTGGTTTTCAAGCAGCAATCTTGTGCCATGAAGAGGAGAGCCATGCTTTAAGGATCGCAGAGCAGTGACAAAGAAGTTTCTGACAAATTGAGGAACTGCCATAACAGTTGTTGCAGTCACTTTGTGACCCCACGAATTGGAGCATGCCAGGCTTCCCTTTCACTACTGTCTCCCAGTTCGCACAAACTCACATCCGGTTCGCCATCCAACCGTCTCATCCTGTCACCCCCTTCTCCTTCTGCCCTCAATCTTTCCCAGCAGTCTTTTCCAGTAAGTCAGCTCTTTGCATCAGGTGGCCAAGGTTCTGAAGTTTCAGCTTCAGCATCAGTCCTTCTGATGAATGTCCAGGACTGATCTCCTTTAGGATGGACTGGTTGGATCTCCTTGCTGTCCAAGGGACTCTTGAGCGTTCTCAGTACCAAAGTTTGAAAGCATCAGTTCTTCAGTGCTCGGACTTTATGGTCCAACCCTCACATCTTGTACATGACTACTGGAAAAACCATAGATTTGACTATACAGACCTTTGCTGGCAAAGTTATACCTCTGCTTTTTAATATACTGTCTAGGTTTGTCATAGCTTTTCTTCCAAGGAGCAAGTGTCTTGTTCTAAACAGACTTAATTTTAGAGCTGTTTCACCTGAGAGAAACATCTCTCACTTTAAATCACTGTTATTTGGGGATTTTCTGTGTTTTGCAGCTGAGCCTAATCCTAGCTAAAGAATGGAATTTTTTTTTAAAAAATGGAGATGGAACTACAGAGGAATGCTCCTTCCTTTGAGGCAAGAGGGAAAAGTTGATAATTGAAGCAGAGACGAGACTGTAAATGCAGGGGAATTAAAGTGGAGAGAAGAGGAGGGGATCTGAGAGAACATCAATCTATGTAAGTTGGAGTAGGTAAGAAAGAACAGAAGACATGCTAAATTTGAAGAGGTGATGGGATGGGGTAGAGGAAGGAAGGTGAAGCAACAAAGTGGGTAATGGAGATCAAAGCAGCAGACAACAGCTTCAATCATAGTAATCAGTAGAGCACTTAGTATATGCTGGTACTAAGTGCTTTACATGCATTAACTCATTTAATATATACTTATGTATAACATTTAATATATATGACCACTTTAACATAAACAAATGCATGAAAATAGAAATTAAGATTACAGGAGTTGTGTAGAAAATCAGGAGAATATTATTAATATAAAACCAGTGTGTACTATTTTCACTTACAAGCATGGCCCCTTTAAAATGAAACAACAACAGCAACAAAACACTCCCAAGTATTTAGAATCTAAAAAGTTCAAGAACAAAAATAAAATACTAAGATTAAAATGTTAGTACATATTAATAATATAAGAAGACTGGACTGGTCTGCTGATCAGGGGCAAAACTGTTCTTTTTGAACTGAACAGGTCTGCCATGTTTCCCCATCTCTGCCTTCTTTACCTGCTCTCTTCTTTACCCAAAGTGGATTTTGGGAAGATAGAGTAAATATAAAAACACAGTAATTATTACTCAGGCCTAAAGGGAAACTCTCCCATAATAGTCTATTTTACTAACTAAAAATCTTAAATTATAGGGTTGAATCTCTCGCAGGAATTTTAACCAAAAGATGAGAGTTTTAGTTCAATTCAGTTCAGTCACTCAGTCGTGTCCGACTCTTTGCAACCCCATGGACTGCAGCACACCAGGCCTCCCTCTCCATTACCAACTCCCGGAGTTTACCCAAACTCATGTCCATTAAGTCAGTGATGCCATCCAACCATCTCATCCTCTGTCGTCCCCTTCTCCTCCTGCCCTCAATCTTCCCCAGCATCAGGGTCTTTTCAAATGAGAGTTTTAGTGCATATGCCTAAAAATAGACACTATTCATGGTCACTTTACATTACTACATACAAAATATTACTTTTAAGTTTGACTGGTAAGATGGTCTCCATTGATCCTATCCTCTTCATACTCTTGAGTATGGCTAGACCTAGTTTCTTATAATGAAAAGAACGTAACAGAAGTGATGGGTGTCACTTTCAAGATGAGATTACAAAAAAGGCTGGCTTCTCTTTTGTACTTTCTCACTCATTCATTCTGTGGGAAGCTAGTAATTGCTTGCTATGAGCTGCCCTATAGAGATGGCCATGTGGCAAGGAAGTGAGGAAGGCCCCTGGCTTATAGCCAGAAAGGAAACTGAGTCCAGTCAACAACCCCATGAGCAAGCTTGGAAGGAGACCAACCTCAGTCAAGCACACAAAGGAGACTGGAGTCCCAGATGACCGTGATTGCAACATTTTGAGGCGCCCTGAGGTATCCAGGTGCAGCAATAGATATACAGTCAATACTAATTCTGTCTGTCCTAAAATTTTCATGTAAAGGAAATAATGTATTTTCATGTCCAGCTTCTTTCACTCAGCCTATTTCTGAGACTCATCCATATTACTGTGTATGAAAGTGAAAGTGAAGTCACTCAGTCGTGTCTGACTCTTCACGACCCCATGAACTGGAGCCTACCAGGCTCTTCAGTCCATGGGATTTTCCAGGCAAGAGTACTGGAGTGGGTTGCCATTTCCTTCTCTAGGGGATCTTCCCGACCCAGGGATCAAACCCAGGTCTCCCTCATTGTAGGCAGACGCTTTACCATCTGAGCTACCAGGGAAACCAGTGTAGTAATATATCTTAACCATATAAACTATATAAACCAGCAGTAATATATATTACTGTGTATACCAGTAGTTATTTTTTTAAATTGCTGATTATACTACAATTCAGACTTCTCAGGTGGTGCTAGTGGTAAAAAAAACCTGCCTGCCAATGCAGGAGATATAGAAGACACAGGTTCGATCCCTGGGTCTGGAAGATCCCCTGGAGGAGGGCATGGCAACCCACTCCAGTATTCTTGCCTGGAGAATCCCCGGGACAGAGGAGCCTGGTGGGCCACAGTCCAGAGTCACGAAGAGTCTGACATGACTGAGGCAAATTAGCACTACTATTTAGCATGCATACTACAATTCATCTATCCATTCAACTACTGCTAAACATCTGGGTTGTTTCCAGGTGTTTTGAGAAAAGTGCTATGTTGTTGTTTAGTTGCTAACTCATGTCCAGCTCTCTGCCACCCTGTGGACTGTAGCCTGCCAAGGTTCTCTGTCCATGGGATTTTCCAGGCAAGAATACTGGAGTGAGTTGTGATTTCCTCCTCCAGGGGATTTTCCTGACCCAGAGGTCAAACCTGCATCTCCTGCATTGGCAGGGGGATTCTTTACTGCTGAGCCACCACAGAATTCCAAAGTACTATAGATATTGGTATATGTCTTTTTCAGATACATGATTTCTCTTGAGTAAATACCTAGGAGTGGAGTTGCTGGGTCACATGGTACGTTTTGTAAGAACTCTCAAGTTCTTTTTCATAGTAGTTGTACCATTTTACTGGACTATGTGGGAGTTGCTTCCTCTACATCCTTGCCACCACTTGCTACTGCCAGTCTTTAAAAATTTTAGCTACTTTGGTGATATTTCATTATGGGTTTAATTGGCATTTCCCTGATGACTAATGATGTTGAACATCTTACATGTTCTTACTGAATATTATGTCTTCTTTGGGGGAAAAAAAAAATCTGTCCTAAATTTTGCCTAATTTTTCTTGGGTTGTCTTAAGCTGTAAGAAGTTCTTTAAACACTCTGGATACAAGATCCTTATCAGATGTATGATTTTCAAGTATCTTATCCTGTTTTTAGGTTGCCTTTTGACTTTCTTGATGGTGTTTTGACTTTCTTGATGGAGGTTTGAAGTTTTTAAAAAAATTTATTGAAGTGTAGTAGATTTACAATTTTGTATTAATTTTTACTATACAGCAAAGTGATTCAGTTATACATATATATATACACACACACACACATTCTTTTTCATATTCTTTTCCATTATGGCTTATCTTGAATGGTGTTTTTGAAGTTCAATTTAAAAACATTTATGTCCATTTTTCGTAAGATGTTTATTGCACATATTTCATTGAGTCTGTGGCTCACATTTTCATTTTCTTGACTATATTTTTAACAACGTAAGATTTTAATTTTGATTAAATCTGGTTATTGATATTTTCCTTTATGGTTACTTTTTTGGTGTTATTAGAAAACTCAGAAGCCAGTTTTCATGTTTTTGCTTTATTCTAATTCCACACATATCAAAATGAATCAAGTATTTCAAATGAAAAAAGAGACCAGAGGGAAAAACAGATTATTTCTAGGGAAGAAAATCCAGATTCTCATTAGCAAGAGTATAAATGCTGGAAGTCAATGGAATATTATCTTCAAGATGCTGAGGGAAAGTGTTTGGAAACTTAGAATTCTATAATGTCAAATGATCATTTAAGATTGTTAACAAAAACATTTTGAGACAAACAAAACTTAGGAGGTTTACTGGCCAAAGACCTTTAGTGAAAGAATTACTAAGGATATAATTAAGAACAAAATAAATGTGAATGGAATAGGATGCAAGAATCAACAGTGAGCAAACAAACAGAGAAAACAAAAAAAGAAACAGAGAAAACAAAGCCAAGTCCAAATAAGTAACGCTTATTGTAAAACACGAACCTTAAGATAATGAACCAAAACACAGACCAAAATCTTGTAGAACATTTTATACATTTATTCATTGCTGAGAGATACATATCAAGGTTTTGTCTGATGTTTCTGGTAGTGAAACTACATAAGACATACCCTAGCATGTCTAGGGGACTGAGGCAAGTTTCTGTCTTATGTAAAATGTGACTTTTCAAACCTTACCTACTCTTGTCTCACTAGAAGCCATTCCTTTCTATCTGATAAGAATAAGCTCTTGAAGAAAGTGTTTTCACTGAATCTAAGTTTATATATAAACTGTTTCATCATTCAGTATAAGTGTATTTATTGAATACAAACCAGGCACACCCCTCATCCCACTCTATGATCCTAACTCTAAGGCTAGTTTCTTCAGGGAACTTTTCTTACGTGTCCTCACTCTGCTTCCCGGCAGTCCTTCCATATGACCCTACTCCCCTTTCACAGCTTTTATCATTAACAACACGTGCAGCCCTTTATTGCTCTTGTTCACATTGAGATCTCTCTCGCCCCTCAAATACACTTATCTACTCTCTGAAGACAGGGCTGTTTTCATCTCTGTGTCTTTCTGCCAACACCTGGCACAGTGCCTGGCACACAGCAGGCATTCAATACATCTTTATTGAATGAATGGATGAATAACTTTATGGCTTGGATGTTTAAATTTTTATCATAATTTATTTTTAAATCATACTCAGTTTGAATTTAAACAGTTCAAAGTCAATGTTTCAAGATGCTTACAATTATTGCAACAACTCAATTAAAAAATATACAACTCATACTTTAAGTTCATAATATAGTTAAAATTAAAAACTATTATAAATATTTAATGATGCTTTATATTTTGCCTTTATAGTATACTACTAAAGACACATAAAAGTAGAATTATCTATTAAAACATTTCCCCCTCCTAAGTATATTTCTCATTCTGAAAACTATAAAAAAATTAATAAAAGTTATAGTACATATTTTTAAAAAATAAAACTCACATATTGTGTGTATGTGTATATATATATATATATATATATACATACACACAATATATATATATATATCAACTGCTTACATTCCTAAATATTGAAACTGGGTGGAAAAGTTAGAAAGACTTCTAAACTTTCTTAAGTTAAACTTAAGAAGTTCTAAACTTGAACTTCTTAGGTTCTAAAAAAAGACACAATTAAATGAGCCTTAGACCTTTATCACTGAAAATCAAGATCCTATTTCAGTTACTACTAGGCTCTGGTAGGGAAAAGTCTGTATCATTCATTCAAAACAGAATAACTTCACTTTCCATTTCACACAGCTGTCTAAATGTTCCTGTGAATGGAAAAATTATTAGCTATTATTCGTGATTCAATTTCTAGCACTGGTTGTTGGATACTCTATTATCATACTGGCACAATGTGGTCTTCAGAATTCACACTACATGAAAACACATTTTATAAGACACCTGGGTCCTTTTTTTTGACTACAGTTTCTTAGATGAGAATTCAAAACAGACTCATTACAGAACAAATTACAAGTTACAGTACATTGTGTTAAAATAAGGCTCCAGTGTATTTTGGACACATAATAATAAGCTGCAGCTTCTTGTCATGTTTACTGGAAAAAAAGTTATAAAATTCTTTATACCTTGGGTCACTGGATACACATCTCACCAGAAAAACAAATCTGTTATATACACTATTGCTCACTTAGCTTTCAGTTTTAAGCAGTTATTTGGTAGTATCATCACTCTTTATTTTATGGCTTTTTAAACATTAAATCCTTCAATATTTGAAAAGCATTCACTATATTCTGATAGTTCACCAAATAAAGAAGTGAATATCAGCTTAGAAAAGATGAAGCCTTAAAAAATCAGTTTTTTAAAGAAAGGTTATTCAAGAACAGAAATTAAAGATATAGAAGCAAAACAAAAAACACATTTAAAAAAAGCCATACATGATCCCCTTCATAAAATGAATCTATAATCTTGGGTCCTTGTCAAGAGTTGGTGAAAAAACACACAAAAAGGTCCCCCTGAAGTCTGGATATATTGGCAATATATGTTTTTTTCCTATTTTCAAAATAACCTGCTTTTATTTAAAAATCTGCTTTTGTAAGCCTAGGGTTTTAAAAAATAATAAATGTGATATTTAAGTACCCTCTTAAATATCTTGGCCAATTCACTCTATAGGCTTAAATTAAAATGAGCATTTGTTTAAGACTTATGTTACACGAAAAAATGTACTTTTCCAAACTAAAAAGTTAACTATGTATACTTAATAACATTACATACAATTAATATAAAGGCTACAGAAGGCTTTAGGAAGCTGAAAGTCTAAACAAGTTTTAGCAGGTAAACCAGCTGATTTCACATTACAATTCTAATCAAATTATCCAACTAGTAAACCACAAAACCTTACTTATGATAGGAGAAGAGTCTTGTTTGTTTATATAATATTGATTTTTAATGTGTTTATTTTGAATATGGAATCATAGCTCTTTTCCCTAAGCTGAAAAAACTTGGGCAAATTAGTTTTATATGAGTTACATACATGTGTGTATATGTATATGTATGTGTGCGTATGTATATATGTGTATGTATAAATATATATATTATCATTAGCTTAGTTTTACAAACCATATGTTAAAATACATGGTTTAAAAGTATTAATTGAGATACAAGAGATTTAAAAAAAATTTTTCAAACTATTTGGGTCACAGATACAAATTTATAGTTACAGAGACCAATAGTATATACCAAAGGTCACAACTTACTTATTTGCTATTTTCTGGTTCTTAATCTAATGAGGAATCATATTGAATGATACACAGTCTCTTTTAGCTTTAAAGTTTTGATTATACTGTCCTGTTTTTAAATAGTTAAGACTGTATCTCAAACAAAGTTATCTAAACAGACAACACTGACCCTGAACTAAAGATTTTTTTCACCTCTTTTCTGGCTCTTAGTCCCTCGTAGTCGGTTACTAGAAGGGAATGAGTATTGCGTATTTTACTTAATTGATTCTTCATCCCTGTGCTCTCTCCTTCCAGAGCCCACAGTGCCCAGCACACGGTAATCGCTCAATACTTACTGAATATTCCTGAATGAGTAGAAAGATACTAACAACAGAATGAGAATTAAAAAGAATCTGGATGTGACAATAGCTGCTTTTATAAAGCCCCCAAACAATAAGATCAAAGCTCCTAGTCTCCTTTACATATTTACTTTGGTTTGTCCTCGTAATAAAAGCAAGAGCAATTATGGCACAGAATACAAGGTTAAATCATTGCAGGTAAACTACAAGCAAGGACACATAAAAACAATTTAAGTTTCCATTCATGTAGTGAGGAAAGGACTTTTATTTACACTATTAGTAGATCCCAGCTACTCCAGTTAGTCTGAGATATAATCATCTTATCAATGACAGGAAAAATATCTTCCAGTATTTCAGTTGTAACAATTGTAATTAAATTGCTTAGTTATACTATAGAGTAAGAAGCAATTAATGAATTTTTTAGAAATAAAAAATATGTATATACATTACCCTGATGCCTAGGCCAAAATATATCTAATGACAAATTTTCTTGATTGCTAATGTCATAAAAATAAAGGAAAAATATATTGCAAGTATATTCTTTATAGACGATTTCAATTAGAAAACAATAGTTTAATGAAAACAATACAGTGGTTCATGTGAGTGAACTGATATGGAAGCAAGAGAAATATTCAAACTTGACAGATAATATATTGTCAAATGTAACTAAAGAATATCTGCCTCCATGATACACTTACAGGCAGTAATTAGATTTTTACACATCTCAATTTCATCTTATATTCAAGGAAAATACAGGTCAGTAGGTTATGACCCTAAGCTGCAGTTAGGAACCCTTTCTTTTAGCTTGTAAGATGTAGCCTTTTGATTTGATAATTCCTCTACTTTTAACAATGACCGAGTACCGCAGTAGCCACAGAGGCACCCACTCATGTGCTTGAATGTCAGGGATGCTCTCCTGAAGTGCTTCTTGGAAACTTGCTTCAGAAAGCAGTTCTTAAAACAAACAACAAATAAAAACCCAAATTGTTAAACTTGAAATCAAAGCACTTTACTATGTAGGTAAACATTTAAATACAACAAAAGAAACACCTCAAAACTGAGTATTTATCCTTAATGTGTGCTACAAGTATGAATCAGAATATCAGAAAAACCCAGGTAGTTCTTTAGAAAGTATCTATACCTGTAACCCAGCCAGTTTAACTCATAATTTCTGGTGAGAGGAGCCTGAATACTTGTGTTTTTTTGACGATCTCCAGGTGATCCCAATGTACAGTCAGGGACAATAAAGGAAAGGACAAAAGGAAAAAATATGGACCATTTCCACTACCATGTATTTCCATCCCACTATTTTTTCTGTATATATTTATTTTATATGTATGTATGTACCCATATCTTAAAAACCAGAAATCATACTGCAGTTATAGCCTAATTTATTTATTTTTCACATATATTATGAATATTTTCCCACATAATTATTCTGTGAAAGCATTTTTCATAATTCTCCCAATATTTTATAGATACAGTATATATACATTTTCTTATTGTTGGCAAAAAAAATTAGGTTTTTCCTCATATTTTGCTAATAAAAATCAAGCTTGATGAACGTCCTTAAAATGCATGCCTGGCTATGGAATAATAAGGTCCAAGTACAAGTACCTTTGGAAGGCTTGATACATGGCGTATTGCCAATTTGCTTTTCAGAAAAGACTGTGCTTCACACTTGATACTGGAGTGCCAATCTTACCATATCCTCACCAGCACCAGCAATCATTTACAAAACCTTTCTCAATGGTTATCTTTTAATCTGCATCTCTTTCATGAAATCATTATTTTCTAATTCCACATTTATATCTAAGACTTCTACCATTGCTCCGATTTACAACTCCCCTCCTCACTTCCTCCTCTCTAGTCACACTGGCCCCATAGCTGTAGCCTGAAATCCTCAAACCTATTTCTACCTCAGGGCCTTTGACTTAGCTGTTTCCTCTTCCCTGAGCACTCTTCTTCAAGATACCCACGCAGCTCTCCCCCTTCTTGGAGGTCTCTGATTAATGTACCCTAGCACGGAAGCCTCCTCACCCATCCTATATAAAACAACACCCCCTAACCTGGGCACTCTTTTCTTACTCAGCCAACTTTTCTCCATGGCACACACCATCATTTATCACATTCAACATTTATCTTATTTGTGTCTCCTCCCATAGAATACAAATTCCAAGACAGCTGAGATTTTCCTGACTTGGTCTTGTATTTCTAGTACTTAGAATGCCTGGGACATAGTCTACTGAAGAAATCAATCAATATGGAAAGATTCCACTAGGGTCAGAACCAATCCTACAGATAGGGATTAGATGACCATCTCTGCAATATGATTTGGGAATGTCAAAGAACCTGCCTGTCCCAAAATGAACTACTGTGATAGTTGAATAACATCAATACTAAACTTTCAGTAAATATTAGCTACTGTCACGTGCCAGGCACTTTTCTAAGTACTTCACATGTATTAAGTCTTTTAATCCATATGTTAACCCCAAGAGATGGATATTATTTTCCTTTGCAGGGGGAAATCGATGCAGAGACATTAGATAACTTGCCCAAGGTCACACAGCTAGTAAACGGTAGTTTTCATAAATAAAATGGTAATTTTCCAAATATCTCTGTTTGTGGATCTGTTTTTCAGATTGTCTAGTTGAGGAACCCTAAGGGAATGAGGCATACTATAGATTAGACTTAATGGGAGTGAGGAGTAAGGCCAATAAAAGAAGGAAAGCTCTTAAGTCAGAATCACATACTTCACAATTGTACTCTGACTGTAGTTAAACTGTTACCACAACTTCTAGGACAAAGAATAATGGAAAATAAACCTTTCTGAGGAAAGGGTAATTATAAGGTAATTATAGAAGAGAGGAAGGCCTTTAGGTGACTTATAAACAAGATTCTATTTCAGATGACAAATAGAGTTAAATGTTTTACAACTTGCTTGCTTAAAAAATATATATTACACAAAATCAGAAAACTATGTTATTCACTAACTACATTCTTTTAATTCAACTAATGTTAAATCTTTAGAATCAGTAGACATGACAAAACTTTTAAGGGAACTGCTTCATTACAGATCAAAGTGTCTGAAGATCCATTTACAGTATATGCAGGATCAGACTATAAATTCTACCTAAAGGCTTTAGAATCAAATTAAAAAGACATCCAAAAGTCAAATTACACTGGTAAAACAAAAACATACTCTCCCCAAAAGGATTAAATTTCTCTTCTCCTATACATATGTAATATATTTTTCCATGACAATGATGTATTAGCAATTAATCCACATGCCCACATTTAGATAAATGGAAATAAAACACTAGACACCTTAGACTTTTCCTATTTCCTTTCCCACTGGAAAAAGAATTGCATGTTCTTCAAGTGAAGCTCAAATGGGCTACAGGCTCACTGATCAGCTATTTGTAACAACTGTTGTTGGTAATAATTACAGTTGGAAGAGCCTCCACAAAGTAAATAGAAAAATTATATAATATATGCCAACATACAGGAATTTAAAATTTAAATAGCTTATATTTCAGAACAAATCAGCACAGCAATTCTTTGTAGGATTTTCACCAAAATGACCTTTTTTTTAAAAAAATGAATCTAATTACTTATGCATGAAAGTTCTGCTGGAGAGGGGAGGTAAAAGTAACTATGTCCTATTCTGGTATGATTTAAATGGAGGCTGATAAGAAAGTAAAGTTTCCGACCTGAAATACTACAATACTAATGTTTCAAATCAGAGAGAGAGTGGGGAAAAGGCTCCAGATTCACTCAGGACCTAGGTCTAAGGTCAGACTTCATGCTCGGCCAGCTGGGTGACCTTGAGGAGTTTCTTAAACTCTAAGGCTCTATTTCCTCATCCATAAAATGTCCAGTTTCAGTTGTGAGAGTAACAACCTCTGAGGCATTTAGCAAGATGCCTAGCATTTGAGAAAGAATAACTATTAAAACTCCACCTCCACTTCCTATAAAACAGTAAAAAAAAAAAGAAAGAGAATGAGGCAGACTGTTTTTAAGGTTTAAGAAGTTATCCATAAGCATCCTAAAAATAAATGGAATCACACCTCCTATACAAATGCCATCTTTTTAGAAATGAAAGTAAAAACTGAAATTTTTTCCTTTAGGAATCATCTATAAAATAAAATTTCCTCCAAGTTTTATTAAACTAGAACTTCTATAGATGTGTCATGGAAATCTGAAACTTTCACAAGATAGCTCTCACTTGACTATACCAAAAAGAACTATTTCATAGAGCCTGTATATTTACCAAGGAAAACCCACCTCTGCTTACTATGAAACTGAAACAATGAAAATGGAGCAGACTGCTAGTAACTAAAGTGTAAAACACTACCTTCCCAGCTTTCCAACTTATCTTGTAAAATGTCGATAAAAACTTATCCTACAAAAGGCAGGCAAGCCATTCTCATTAATCAAATAACATTTCTGATGAACATCAAACATGTATGTATTGATAGTAATTATTAATAAAATACCTAATCAAATACCCATCCTAAGATGCTTAAGTTTCAAATTAACTTTTATCTGCTGCTTTTTCCAGATATTTATCCTCTTTAATTAAGTGTCCTTTTGGCGCAATCTCTGCTGTACTAGACAATCTTATATGTGACACTACTTAGAGCATCTTATAAGATCTTCTCTGTGTAGCTTACTATTTATAAATCTGAGCAGACTGGATGTTCAGGAAATGATCCCTTCATTTCTTTTCCCATTGGTACAAAGACAAAATTAAAGCATTTTGAAACTAAAATAAAGGTGTATGTGTTTTTAACTATTAAGAATAGCTCTAGGTGACAGCATTGTACCTTTATCACTGTACAATTAAAAATTAAATTTTAGCAAGTAGTTTCTTATAAAATAAAAGCACCTGATCAATCTCTACAAATGAAAATCTCAGTCTTACCTTTTGGATCATTATGAGTCAATAGCTGTATGTCAAACTGTTTGGCAAATGCAGTCAAATCAGGTGGCATCACACAGCAGGAGGCAAGATTAACTTGGTTACTATTTGGTTTTACCTAGAAGTGAAAAAGAAAAATCGTGACATCTCCTTTAAATTAAGTACTTCGAAAAGTAGAAAGCAATAAAATGACTCAATTTTAGAACATATGAAATATCACATCCTACCATGCTTCAAGTTTACTTTTACATGAATTTATTTTTTACTTTTACTTATACTTGTGCCAGATTTTTTTAAATTTGTTTTTTAATTGGAGGATAATTGCTCTACAATGTTGTGTTGGTTTCTGCCCTAGATAAAACAATGCAGATCAGTCATGACTATGTAAGTATCCCTTCCCGCTTGAGCGTCCCTCCCACCCCACCTCTCCATCCCACCCCTCTAGGTTGTCACAGAGCACCAGATTGGTCTTCCTGTGTCATAAAGTAGCTTCCCACTAGTTATCTATTTTACACATGGCAGTGAATATATGCTTCCCAGGTGGCTAAGTGGTAAAGAATCCACCTGCCAAGCAGGAGATGCAGATTTGATCCCTAGGTCGGGAAGATCCCCTGTAGAAGGAAATGGCAACCCACTCCAGTATTCTTGCGGGGGGAAATTCCATGGACAGTGGAGCTCGGTGGGCTATAGCCCATGGGGTCATGAAGAGCTGGACATGACTTAGGGACTAAATAGCAGCAGGAGCAGTGTATATATGTCAATGCCACTTTCTCAATTCATCCCACCCTCTCCTTCCCCTGCTGTGTCCACAGGTCCATTCTCTACATTTTTATCTCCATCCCTTTCCTGCAAATACATTCATCAGTACCATTTTTCTAGATTCCATATATATATACAAATGTATGTGTGTATATGTATATATATGCATTAGTATATGATATTTGTTTTTCTCTTTCTGACTTACTTCACTCTGTATAACAGTTCTAGGTTCATCCACCTAACTATAACTAACTCAAATTCATTTCTTTTTATGGCTGAGTAATATTCCATTGTATATACATACCACAACTTCTTTAACCATTCATTTGTCAATAGACATCTAGATTGCTTCCATGTCCTGTCTATTGTAAATACTTCTGCAATGAACATTGCGGGTCCATGTGCCTTTTTGAATTGTGGTTTTCTCAGGGTATATGCCCAGTAGTGGGATTGCTGTGTCATACAGTAGTTTTATTCCTAGTTTTTAAGGAATCTCCATACTGTTCTCCATTGTGGCTGTATCAATTCACATTCTTACCAACAGTGCAAGAGAGTTCCCTTTTCTCACATCCCCTCTGGCATTTATTGTTTGTAGGTTTTTTTGATGACAGCCATTCTGATTGGTTTGAGGTGATACCTCATCGTAGTTTTGATTTGAATATATTTATTAATATATGCTTTTCTGACTAATGGTACTGGTAACAGGAAAGGGAAAAATAGCTCTAAGGAAAGGGGAATAAGCCAATATATTACTACACTATTAAAAAGTCTCATACTAGAACCTGCCATCTAATACATCTGCCTTGAAAACAAACATGATTCTAAGTGTGATGGTTCCAACTAGAAAGGAGATATCTTAGAGACAGAGGATCAAATACAAATGATAAGTATATTTAGAGCTGAAGTATATAATATGGTTATTAATCAGCTACATTTGAAAAAGAGAAGAATTAGATAATTTCTAATAGATGTTCTGGTTAATTTACAGATTCAGATCACCAAAGTGATCTTAGCGATTCAGCAGAATCTTAGCCACATTCTGGCTATCACCAAGTCAAAGGGACAAGGAGGCAACTTTTCTCTAGGGTTTTCCTGCCCAGAAGAAAATTAAAAGGCTGGGGATGAAGTAAAAGGAATAAAGAAAAATAGAGACAATAAAGGTAAACTACTTGTAAGCAACTTCCCTAATAATTTTGTAGGTTATTAGGCCAGAGAGTGGCAGGGATTAATTTATGACTCCTACTCCATATCAAGTTATGTGAAATGAAGGTCTTACATGTCTTTAAATAACAGAGCAAAATATATGTTATATATGATATTCTCTTACTTAGGAAATTAGAACCATGGTCTAATAATACCTAAAGGAAAACATAATATTTTTATCACATAGTTAAAACTGAATGAAAGAGCCTTAATTCATTTGGCTATGAATGTTTCAACACACATTTTCTACAGTTTTTTGTCAAAGTCTGCCTCAAAATCCCCATATTTGGAACAGGCTCCCCAAAGTGGCATCTGCTATGTGCATGATGTTTAATGGGGTGCAGCGAAGCCTGCAGAAGACAGGGTGCTCCTGGAGCGCTTGGGATGCAGATGTCCTTTACCTGTGCCCACTGATACAGCTGCTCCAACTGGGTTTTGTCCAGATCAGAGGTACCAATAGCAACAATCTTTTTGCTCTGAACTAAGTTTTGTAATTCTTCCCAGTAAGGCTGCAGATGCTCCAAGGAAAGATTAACTCCATCTTCAATAGGAGGTGAAGCAATGATCACAGAATCCAGCTGTGCAACGCCAAGGACTGAACAGGCTGATGTGACGGAAAACACAAAGGGAAAACACAAGGAAGACAAATGTTTGTCCATAACAAAGGCGAGTTGTTTCTAATGTCCTTTGCTCCCCCACTGAATTCTGTCTGTACAGTTCACTAGTATTCTATGTAACAGATTATTTCATTAGGTTTCATGATTTACCTGTCATGTAGAACATTTCCATCTTTTTCAAAACAATGAGTGTCCATTCATCTACTTGCTCTGTGTGGCAGACATGTGGGTTTCCTTGACCTGCCTCATTCCTGGGGAAACTCACAACTACTATAGGCTCCTTGTTCCTAGGCCCCAGGACTTTTTGGTAGCTTCTGACCTAATAGTCTATAATTGTTGGGTGTGCTGTGCGTGCATGCTAAATTGCTTCAGTCGTGTCTGACCTTTGGGATCCTATGGACCGCCAGGTTCCACTGTCCATGGGCTTCTCCAGGTAAGAATACAAGAGTGGGTTGCCATGCCCTCCTCCATGTGACTTTCCAACCCAGGGATCGAACCCAAGTCTCTTACGTCTCCTGCATTGGCGGTGGGTTCTTTACCACTAGTGCCACCTGGGAAACCCTACAACTGGTAATCATAGCAAAGAATAAGCTTGAGACTATGAAAAACTGAATTTATGGTCTTAACTTACACATTAATCTAGGTGGCTCAGTGATAAAGAAACTGTCTCCCAAGCAGGAGATGCAGGTTCGATCCCTGGGTCAGGTAGATCCCCTGGAGAAGGAAATGGCAACCCACTCCAGTATTCTTGCCTGGGAAACCCCATGGACAGAGAAACCTGTCGGGCTATACAGTTTAAGGGACTGCAAAAGAGTCTTAGCAACTAAACAACAATAAATGTAGATAACTTCTTAGTTTTTATAAAAATGAGTTTATTTTTAACAATTTTTGTTCCTGCCATAGTTATATTAAAGAGCTAGTTATTTAACTGTTCCATGTATGTAAATAGTAGAATGTTTGAAAAGAAAAAAATACTAATTAATTATAATGCTATATAGTAACCTCACCATGAGATGAAAATAGATTAAAATGCTTGTTTTTGTTGTTATTCTTTTGATATTTCACCTATAGTACTAAAAAAGCTAAGAATATGCTTAAGGAGAATTTCTATCTCCAAACATATAGTTAACATGTAATTATGTTACATCTTTTACATTCTTCTTATATATATCAAAATATGACCTTACACTGGTTGATGTGATTTCCCCAGAAGCCTTAAGAAATTAGGCTAGAACTTGAAAAGGTAAAATTGCAATGAGCTCATTTATTTTTTTAACTAGACCTGAACACAAGATATAATTAATACAGTAATTTTAAAGTTCACCATGAAAATAAAAGTTAAAATTTTGCTTACCCATGTCGACTGCATTTCTAGTTGATGATGAAGAGTTTGATCCCACAATGAACAGTTTTGCTGAGTGACAAAAAGAACAAAACAGATTATTATATTTGAGTAACATTCTATTACACAGTAGTAACACTGCCAAAATACTAAGAACAGATAATCCTGAATGAGTTTTTTCCTTCCCTAGCTGCATTGTTTTATAGTTTTGATTTTTAAGACCTAAAAGTATATTTCCATGGTAATTTTAAGAAGATATGCTAGTTGCCAACAAGTATCTGATTGTCAAAACAAAAAGGCAAATATTAATTCCCCTTTATTGGAAAGCAGGGCAGATAAATATAGCAGCATTCAAAATACATGTTTTTATGAATTAAACATTAATGGAGCATATTATATACTTGAGCTTTCCTGGTAGCTTAAACAGGAAAGAATCTGCCTGCAATGCAGGAGACCTGCATTCCATCCCTGGGTTGGGAAGATCCCCTGGAGAAGGAGATGGTAACCCACTCCAGTAGTTTTGCCTGGGAAATCCCATGGACAGAGGAGCCTGGTAGACTACAGTCCATGAGATTGCAAGAGTCAGACATGACTTAGTGACTAAACCACCACCACATGATATACTTTCTCCAGTAAACTAAAGTCTATATAAAGATTAAATTGCTTGTAATGAGAAGAAAATTGAAAAAACAAAACCAGAAAACCCAAACAAACAAATATCCCACAATTCTACTTTCTTAATACAATCATTTTCAATTTTAGACAAAAATTGTTACCTTCAAGTTCTTGGTCATATGAAACACAGTATATATTTTTTACTTCTATGTATTTGGTTTATTACTCTTATGTAACAAATACTTTTTCGTATTTCTATGCAGTATTTAGGTAAACTGCCAGTAGTCTCATCTCCAAAAGTAATTACTGTTTGATTTTTATGTACTCTGTATTTTTCTTTTGCTTTTTTTTGGCTCTGCAGCTTGTGGGATTTTAGTTCCCTGACCAAGGGTCACACTCAGGTCCTTGGCAGTGAAAGCAGAGTGGCAACTACTAGACTTCCAGGGAGTTCCCCACACTCTGCATTCTTAATGAACAACATCCATGTTGATTCTCTGTTCAACTTTATGCCTCAAGAATTTCTGAAGATCAGAAATGTAATTATGAGTCAAAGGATATGATTCTTTTGTCAGTCTTGCTTTATTTATCTCTTATTTTAAAAAAAATTGTCCCAGGTTACCAGACCATTAAAAGTTAGAAGTTGCTCCCCTAACAATATAGGATGCTATTTAAAAAAAGATATATATTTTTGCTAATTTGATAGGTACAAAATATACCTGCCCAGAACCACATTAATTGGCATTTCTTTGCTTATTAGGAAAGTTGAGTAGTTTTTCATACTTATGAAGTTGAAGCTTTGGCTTGATTTGACTCAACATTATATATATTGTATATGTTTACTTTATGTAATAAACTCACTGTTCAAAAATCTAAATTTACTCAACAAATAGGTAGAGTAATAGGAAAGCAAGAAGAGAGAAAATCATAAAGGGTAATAGAGAGAAAACAGGGTTAATGAAATACCAGTATGTAAAGTGCCTGGCATTCAATATATACAATAAATTTTCTTTGTACAACATTTCTTGTTGTCATTTCCTTTCTACTGCTGGATAATCGTCCTAAAATACTGCTTTCCTCATGTTACTTCTCTATCTAAAAGCCATCACAACTTCCTTACCAGCTGAGTCAATCTTCACCACTTTGCTCCAACTCAGCTCTGTAATTATATTCTGTGAAAGCCCTCCCCATCATTACCCCACTGGCTATGAAGTGGGTGTCATTTGAGATGGTCTGTTTCCAAAAGAGGAGGCATTTTTAGGTAGGTGAAGAGAGAGAAGCTCTTGATGCTTATCAAAAATCTCAAGCCTTCCAGGAATCAAGGACAACTTGTTCCAAGTTGGATCTACACCATGATGAACTGCAATATACCACAGAGAAATGCTGCTCTGATGTCCTTTTCAACACAAATAGCAGTGTGAAATTAACAAAAAGAAATGCGTTCTGTATTCAGGCATACCTTGATGGACTCCTGGTTCAACCATTTACTTGCTACACAACAGCTTTCAAGTTATTTAATGTCACTTGTGTAATGGGGATAATAAACCTACCTTGCAGAATTGTTTTGAAAATTCTATAGAATAAATATAACCATAATGTGGCAAGTACAATCTCTGGTATAAAGTGAGATTCAACAAATGGTAGTTATTATTATTAGAGTCAATGGTCTAATTCATCTTAAACGTGTTCACTCTAATAAGAGTAATAATAAAATGACAACAGCTACAACACAGCCGCAAATAGTAATAAATAACAGTTACCTGGCACTTATTTTGTGCCAAGAACCATGCTAAGTGCTTCTTTTGTTATTTCATCTAACTTACAAGGAAACTTGCAAAACAGGTGTATCCCCATTTTATAGATAAGGAAACTGAGCTCAGAGACGTTAAATCATTTGTTAGCCCTAGATTATGTCAGCCAGTAATCTGCACATCCAGGAATTTCAGTCTAGTTAAGCTCAAGTATTCAGTGACTATGTTATGCTGACTGTAAGCTGAGGACCAGAACAGCTGTCATTCCTTGAACTTAGCACTATCTCTGGAAAGCAGGAGCAGTCCCTCCACCTTTGCTGAATGGGTACAGCATGCATTTTATTTTTCTTCATGCGGCTTGCTGCCCAGACTTGTTGCTCTGCTCCCAGGTGACCTCAGTCATTGCTTAGCAGTGTCACACCAGGAAGGGAGGACTTATGCTGGCTTCGGGTGGGCACTGCTCTTAAGCCTTCCCTGCATTCTTTCCTACACCTTTTACTGCTCTGATTAATAATGTCTCACATAAATTAGTGAGAACAAAATGAAGAGGTGAAGTTCTATTCTGCCTTCACTGAAGTAGCCAACAGTGACCTCCCATAACTCCTTTAAAGCTGGCTATAAAATTATGTTATAAAGAATCTCTATATTTCCTACACTGAGTGATCAAGTTACTTATTACCAGAATCAAAGAAAGGCTTATCCCCATGCCTAACAAAACCTATTATCCACTGTAAAACAAAATGAACTGTAAAGGCTGGACTTTACCAGAAACTTTCATTTCTTCTCTTTCATCAGGATTTATCTTTTCTACTGCATGAGATACAGTACATTCCAAGACATCTGGAAACTCCTATAATAAACACATGATATTTACAATAAAAATAAAATTAATGTTTTTACTTAGCTATATATTTTCTATTGTCCATAACACTCTTTAGAACCAGAGAATCCCTAAGACAATAAAGTTCTTTACCTGATGGGCTTCAGATAGTTTATAAAGCCCTGAAATAGAGGTAAAGTGCTGTGTGTGTGTCCATTTTCTGGGGAAAAGTGTCTTATTTTGATGAGATACTCAGGGCGGGAGTAGGGGAAGGATGTATGACCAAAAACAAATGAACAAACCAGCAAGCAAACTGGGCGGTATGTGAGGAGTGAGAACCATTAACACAGTCAATACTTATACTCAGAAATCAATGAAAAGTAGTATTTTCCTTCTGGATATTGACATGTTAAAAACTTCCCATGTATCAATCCCAAACATTTTAACCCAAAATGTATTTTTTTCTAAATGCAATGGAAACAAAGTAAAGGCAATTCCAATGCATAAAAACAAGTAGTTAATGAGTGAAATGATAAAATATTGGTACATAAAAATCAGTAACATACTAACATTTATAAAATTAAAACAAAGTAAACAGGATTTTCCCATAATTCTTGAACATAGAATGCCTGAACACATGTTAAGTATTTCCAAGTCAAGCACAGAGTGAATGGTCACTTCAGAGAAATGAGACTGATAGAAGACATTACTGAATGTCTGCCTAGCACCTTTAGTTACAAACTTGCAGTATGCTCAGAGAAACAATTATTGATAGTGCATGTCTTCTTCCATACTTCTTAAGTAGTCTCTGTAATTTGTGATAAGCCAGCCTGTGGCTAAACTGGATTCCAAAGAGTGGTTTATAGACTGTGTTTTGTATATTAACGTTTTTGATAATAGTCATATACTGACATTCAATGAAACACTTCCTTACTGTTTCATAAGTGACACTTACAAAATTATTTTTAGTAACTATGTTTTGCTTATAGTCTACCAAAGCAATCTAGAAACCAGAACTGTCTGATAGTCATTCCTCTACTAGACCAAATATAAACTGGAACTAAATACACTCTGAGAAGACTGTGGAATCTTAGAAGCTTGTCTTACTGAAGAGTTGACTACAGAGTTGGATTTTCTCTTTCATGCTTAAGCCTACTGGGTCAGACTGTCATTTCAGCAAATGGACCACAGTGATTTTCATGCTAGTTGCCTATCTGACTTCCTGATCAAACCTGAGAAAATTAATTTCCTGCTTATTACATGATTTCGTCATTTACAGTTCACTCACCCTGACCAAATCTGGGTTGATTTGGGAACTCCATTCATTTAAGGTCTTTTGAATACAATCTCGAAGCTGCAAAAGAAATGCATTTTGAAACTGTTAACCATACACTATTTATGTACTTCTACAATGAAAAAAGGTTGAAATAAACCTTCACCTAAAGTTTTTTTCTTTTAAGGACTGTATTAGTCTGATAATTAGGAAAAAGAAGATATCCATAAGAAATACGATACAAAACAAACTTTTAATTCTACAAGGTTTTGTTTAACAAAGATCAACTTAGATCTGTTTTTATCCTACTCTTAATTCTCAAATGTTCTTGACCTAAAGCAGTAATCTAATCATTAAAAAAGTATTTTTGCACCAATGAAAATTTAAGTAAACTTTTGAGATGTAAAAGCATTCATAAAGGAACAAAATTTCAAGAATAAGGAAATTTATAAATGGAACTGTAATCAAGCCCAGGCAGCCTGACTAGAATGAACCTTAACCACTATGCACCTACATGAGAATCACCTGTGGTGTTCAATAAATGTTTAAATTCCTGAGCACCATCCTAGATCTAATGAATCACTTTCTAAGGGCAGCAGAACTTTCATTTTAAGAAGCATCCAAGTAATCAAAATGTACTCTAAAATCTAGAAATCACCATAGTCCTATCTCGCAGAAGTCAGCTTGCAGTCAGTTCATATAAGTCATTTCCTAACAGGCAGGTAGACCTTAGACCTGTCATCAATGTTTTCTTATACAATTTTCTTACACTAACACTGTAGTATTCTGTAAATTCATTCAAGTGTCTAGTTATCTTTTATCTCTTATGACAGTGTATTTCCAACTTACTTAATAGTGGTCCAAAATAAGACATACACCAACACAGTGAGTACAGACATACATACATATAACAACAAAAATTCACAAAGTAATATTTATGCTTACTATATACCAGATAGTCTGGTGACTTCTATGAGTTAGAAAAAACTATGTTGCTCCATGAATCACTGAACTGACTTCTGACCACAAATGTGCCAAAACTAGCAGTTTGGGCCCACACTAGCAGAAGTCACTGCCTTATAAATACAAAGGGCACAGTACTTTGCATTCTGTGGGCAATCAATGAAAAAATAAATGAGTAACTAGAAGCACATCCCTGAATTGCAAAAGCACTTTCCTAATACCAACAACAGAGATTAAACTTCTGAACTCACTATCTGATCTCTGAGTGCTTATGATAAAAACCGACACAAGAACTTTATTGCTTATATTTCAGTATAGATAATTACAAGGGACAACTGGTTTATCAATGAAGAGCTCAGAATCACCTATTTAAGATTTACAACATACAACAGTAATTCATGTGCTAGCCACAATAACCCACATGAATTCAGTTTACAGGGTATATATATTTATAATCAAATTTAAGTCATTAAATAAAAAATGATTAGTTGATAATCATTTTAGACAGAATTACAAGTTAATATTCTCTGAAAAATTAATAAAAATTGAGGCAGCAGGAACAACAATTCGATCAGGAGTGCTGTGACTCAAGTCATGGGAAAATTTTTAGAAATTCTCCTCTGGGAGGATGGTTAACAGGCAGAAGGCTTTCCAGATGAATTTCTCAATTCATGAAGATAAGTATATTTTCAGAGTGTTCTCTCCCTTCTGTCAGGACAAATTATGGAACAGTTCAGTGTTACAATAACATGAGAAATTCACTATCACAAACTGGGTGATTTTTAATCTTTTATATGTTATCTATACTGAATGAACATTAACCTTGTACTTTTTTGTTCTTTGCTCTCTTCATTCTTACCACACATAGTATCATGGAAGATGAGCATCATCATAATTTAGTGTATCATTAGATCTGGAGTTGTATAAGAGTTTTTAAAAAATGCTACATGGTCAAATATCTTAACAACAAATAACTGTTCAAAACAGTCCAATAATAGCCCATTTAAAACACAAGATTTTATTTCAGAAAATTACAGTGAAAAAAAATCTGGGCAGAGATTACAGAATAATTAAAAAACAAAACATTAGACGAGAAAAGACCTTTTAGGAAATTTAATAATCTCTACCTAATGTGTAAATTTTCTCAATAATGAGTGATTTATTTAGTTTCTTTATTCAATGAGGTTGAACTGTTTCAAGTAGTGTATCCCACTTTACAGCTCTGGTTGCTGCAAAGTTCTTTACATAGAAACAAAACACACCTCTTCTATTCTAATCAAGCTGTCACATTTTCTCTACAATGCTAGCACCAAGCTTTCCTCAAAAGTTTTCAAATTTCTTAACTTTGTCCCTCTTTCACATCACCCAAAATAAAAGACAGTTAGTCTTTTGAACAATGTTTTTCAAACTGTGGGGTGTAACTCATTACTGCATTAACAAATCACATTTTTAAAAATTAAAATAAGATAGAAAAAATTAGAATACACAGTATATAGTAAAATCTTTTCATAAGATTGTGTGTGTGTGTGTGTGTGCGCGCACGTAAACCATGAAATGGAGTGTCAAGGCAAAATGCTTTTTTTTAAACTGGGTTTGCAGTCAAACTGCAAACTACTACTTTAGCATGTGTTGAGTGAGATAAGAGAGAGAAAATGTCACCCAGCATTATCTATGTGCAAAATGCTGTATTGAACCATCAACCCTGGAGAAGTTAAAGGTCTAGAACAAAACACAGAAGTGTCTATCTTTGGGAGAAATAGCACAAGTGAGGGTGTTTTTTAAAAACCAACAAAACAAAAAAAACAACAAGAGAGACAAGCTGAGCTGCATCCTGGACACAGAATATGGTATGGATTCTGATTCCTATTAAAGTTGCAACCAAGAGTTCTCATCCCCAGATAGGTCCTCACTGCCGACAGGAGGCCTGGGCACAGGTCAACTCATACTCGGAGGGATGCTACTGCTACTACCTAGTATAACACCAACATCTTATTTAAAACTGATTAGGAACACAGTTGATAACATCATAATTGACATAGCTTAGGAATTTTTTCTTTTAATCAAGATTTGTTTTATCTCTCTGAACCAGATGGCAAGGGAGATAAACGCTTGCATAGTGTTTCATATAGGATCCTTTATTCCTCACTGTGACCTGATGATGATATAATCCAACTTTTAAGTCACGGAAATAGGCTCGCGAGGGTAACTTTCCCAAAGTCACAGAGCTCTTAAATTAAAAGTTTGTTTTATTGTTATTTTTTAACACTAAAACCCGTACTATACCACCAACACGCCTCAGCAATTAACTGTGCCTAATGATCGACTCTTCCCTTCAGGAAGGACCAGCGATGTAACAAATATGCAACGAGAATATAACTCCAGATTATTCCCTGCCACTTCAAAACAGTGGTCAGTCTTTAGCCAAATTAATCTTCAGCAAGAGAAATACATACCTTTTTCCAAAGCCGAATTTGAGTGTTCAGTCATTTGCCTCACAGCCAGACAGAAACTACAGTCAACACCCTAAAAGCTAAGTGGATTATTAGTACTACCTCATCTGAGTCTTCGGCAAGCTAATCCCCCAGGTTTTTCTTTACCTGGACACCGTGGAAGAAAGGGAGTGAGCTAGGGAGGGGGACGAAGCGCGGGATCGGCCCTCTCTAGCCCCCTCGCCCGGGAGAGCGATCCAATAGGTTGGAGAGTTTGGTCATCAGCCGGGAGCACTGACAAGAGGCGTCACCCCTCATCAAGTTGCACCTGCCCAATTTGTAAAGACGCAGTGCCCCCCAACAGCAGGTTCGGACGCGACGTCGAGCAGACAGCAGCCCCGGCTTCCTCTCGCAGGCGGAGCCCAGGTGCGCGCCTCGCCCACGTCCCCCGCGGCGCCAGGAGCCCAACCACCCGCCCGCGGAGCCGCCCGGCCCGGGCCGCGGCCTGTCCCTGGAGCCGGTCTCCGCCGGCGCGCTCGCCGCCCTCACCTCCTCGCTGTGCGTGGACGGGCACTTCTTCCGCAGGCGGCCCCAGTTCAGCAGGTTCCCCGTCTGCAGGTGCAGGGTGCTGGCCCGCGCCAGGAGCGCTCCGGCCGCGCGGCTGTCGGTGCCCATGACAGCAGCCGACGGAGCGGGCCCGGCGGCGACGGGGCCGCAGGCGGGGAAGGAGGCCGCCCGTAGGACGCGGTGCCCGAGGCCGGAGAGCAAAGCGCGAGGCTGCTCGCCCCGCGCGGCGAGACCCCGGCCTGCGCTCGGGCCCAAGGACGACCGGGCGGCGGCGGAGCTGCGGCCAGGAAAGACGCGCTGATGGCTGCGGCTCTCTGCTACAGCGGCCGCCGCGGGAGAGTGGACTCCCAACTGAGGAGCCGTTTCCAGGAAGACAATGACTAAGCAGAAATCGCGGCGGAGAAAGTGCTTCGTAACCGTTACCCGTCCCGCGGCGGCGCCGGGCGGGGACGGCAGGGCTCCCCCTGCCGGCCAGAGGGCGATGCGCCGGCCCTCTCCACCTCCATCGGCTGCGCTCGCAGTCTCACCTCCCAGCCAATGGGTTATCAGATAGCCCTAAGATACCGCTTTAAAAAGAGAAAAGTACCGAGGCATTGAAATGCCCGCCGGTTTCAATTCTCAGAAGCAGTTCGTTTCTCTTCTTAAGGGCTTCCCCCAAACTGCTCGTTTTTTCCACGTCCACTGATTAAAGGTCTATTGATTTACTCTATTTGCTGGGCAGTGTGTGACGTCAAAGAGTAAGACAATCTCTGCCCTTGAGATTCTTAAACTGTAGTTCCAGATACGATTTAAGCATATGAAACAGTGAGTAACACTATAAGAATATCGTAGTTTCCAGATGAGATTAAAGAGAATGCTTAAAATGGTGAGATCAGGGAAGATATGAGCTGTTTCCTTAGAGGTTGTGATTCTTTACTGCTTCCCTGGCGGCTTAGACGGTAAAGCGTCTGCCTGCAGTGCGGGAAAGTTGCTCAGTCGTGTCCGACTCTCTGCGACCCCATGGACTGTAGCCCACCAGGCTCCTCCGTCCATGGGATTTTCCAGGCAAGAGTACTTGAGTGGGGTATTCCCAAGTGGTGCTAGTGGTAAAGAACTCGCCTACCAATGCAGGAGACATAAAAGACGCTACTTCAATTCCTGCGTTGGGAAGATCCCCTGGAGAAGGAAATGGCACCCCACTCCAGTACTCTTGCCTGGAAAATCCCATGGACGGAGGAGCCTGGCAGGCTACAGTCCATGGGGTCGCAGAGAGTCGGACACGACTGAGCAACTTCACTTTCGCTTTAAATTTCATATGTAGTAGACTTGGTAGGAACCGCGAGTTTAACATTTATTGAGCTTTCCTCAACACATTTTTGCTTTTGTTGACAGTAATCAGATATACTAAAAAGCAAAAACATCAACCTGTGTGGCTTGCAAATCTGACTTTATCAGGTACTAGTTATTTTAACTTAGACAAGTCAATCTCTGTGTTTCACTTTCTCCCGTTTCTGTGGATGATAGTTTAAACTTCGTGATACTGCTGATCATTGACTATTTTTGAGCTACCGAAATGGCTAGTCCCCATGGTTCCACCTAATACAACACTACTACGTTGGGCAAGTGTGAGGACTTAATGAGAGAATTTATGACAGCCCTCAATACAGTACTTGGCTCATAGTAAATGTCCAGTAGGTGAGATCACTTAGAAATACTGACTCTTCTCTTTCCCCCTTACAACCCACTTCTCACAACACTGGCAAGTTCATGATGTAATTCACAGCAACATCACTGTCATGTTTTTAAAATTTACATTTATAGGGGAATTCCCTGGTGGTCTGCTGGTTAGGACTTGGCACTTTCAATGTGGGGACACGGTTCAATCCCTGGTGGAGGAACTAAGATCTTGTTGGCCATGGAGCATGGCCAAAACAACAAAAATTCACATGTGTAAACCCCTTTGGGCTTCCCCTGTAGCTCAGTGGGTAGAGTCTGCCTACAATGCAGGAGACCTGGGTTCAATCCCTGGATCCCCTGGAGAAGGAAATGGCAACCCATTCCAGTATTCTTGCCTGGAGAATCCCATGGACAGAGGAGCCTGGCAGGCTACAGCCTATGGGGTCGCACAGAATCAGGTAAGACCTAGCGACTAAACCACCACCAAACTTTACTCTTCACAGCAACTCAGATAGGTGATTTGTTGAAAATCCTAGGTAGTACTAAGTTTTGGGGGCTCCATCAAAACCTAGATCCTTCATTTTCAAACTCCTTAGTCTTCCATACTACAATTTATGCTACATAAAGCGTATTTATTGAGGTAATTTTAATTCTTAAATGTATATGAGCATGATTTAAATGCTTTCTGTGCTAGTTCAGCTTTATTTTACAGTATATTATACTGAATGATACCCTTGCCCTGGCATCATAATTTTGGAAGAAAAAAAGCTCAATCTTCGAAATGTATTTGGTGACAAAAACAGGAAATGCAAAATCAGAAGTATTTTGCTATATACAGTTATTTTGAATGTGTCCGCCCCCCCCACCCAGTCTATGGAAGAGGAAAAAATGCTGACACATTCATCTTTGGGAATGGTATAAATTTCGGTTTTAGTTACTTTAAAATTCTGCAAATGTGTGTAAGTATAAAGTGAAGTTGCTCAATCATGTCCGACTCTTCGAGATCCCATGAACTGTAGCCTACCAGGTTGCTCCATCCATGGGATTTTCCAGGCAAGAGCACTGGAGTGGGTTGCCATTTTCTTGTCCAGGAGATCTTCCTGACCCAGGCATTGAACTTGGGTCTCCTGCATTGTAGGCAGACACTTTACCGTCTGAGCCACCAGGAATAAAGAGTCACTAATATTGACTGCCCTTTTTTCATTCTCCTTGACTTTTCCAGGATCTGATACTACTGTCCAGGCTCTCCTTTAAAAACTACTCTCCTCACTTAGCTTGAAATAAACTACACTACTTGTGAGAGTTTCCTCACCATATTTGTTCACAGAACACTTTTAAAAATTATAATGTGTTGTTGGAAGTCCAATAGAGGCTCATAAGCTATAAATGTTTATGTTAAACCAGACAGCAAGAATGGTCTCATAAATAAATTGTTGTAGGAAGTGATTACATTTTCATTCATAGTCTGCTTTTGTTTTATGTAAGAACAAACAAAATATGAAAATTAAATTTATTTCACCTTATTAAGAGACCACTTGGTACATTTTATGCTTCATCAGTTAAAACTGATTTAAATTCTTGAATTTTGTTTTAATTCCCAAAATTAATGTTACCATATTCAGGAGTAACTAGCTTGGTCATGGCCACTTTACACTTGATCTTAGCCAAAAGGCCGAGAAGCAATCATGGCCACTTTAGAAGTGAAGGTTTTTAAAAGGATTTCTCAGACCCGGGTGGCTCAGTGGTGAAGAATCTGCCAGCCAATGCAGGAGACATAGGTTTGATCCCTCAATTGAGAAGGTTGTGCATGCCGCAAAGCAACTAAGCAGGTGTACCACAACTATCGAGCCTGTGCTCTAGAACCCAGGGGCCGCAACTGCTAAACCTCCTTGTGTGCCCTTAAGCCCGTGCTTAGCAACAAGAGAAGCCACCGAAATGAGAAGCCTGAAATGAGAAATGAAATGCAACTAGAGAAAAGCCCACGCAGCAATGAAGACCCAGCATAGCCAAAAATAAATACAACAAAGTATAAAAAGATTTCTCTAGGATATTTCTGAAACCCAGATCATTTGGGAATAATACAACTGTCACTGTCACACAATTTGGAAGAACAGACTGGTGGCTTGGAATAGAAAGAACATGAGTAAGTACAGAGCAGTGGAAACACCCACAGCATTTTTTGAAAATAGGAAAGAGAGGCGCCCACTTTGAGTAGGAGCACCCCTTAAAGGTGAAGGCAGTGAGAGTGTGATTAATGGAAGACCATTATCAGCAAGCTGGAGTTTTTGGATTTGGGTTAGGAAGACTTTAACCTTGAGTAAAACAAAGTCTTAACTCCAGGAAATAAATAAGAAAAAAAATCTATATTTAAAGTAATATTAATTTACTCAACAGGTGTTTCTTACATGTCTAATACTTGTCAGATGCCAGACTAGGCACTATAGATTTAGGGTGAGCAAAGTGTTACTTTATCCCTGTCCCCACATAATTTACAATCCAGTAGAGGAGGCCACTTTAGTCATATAAGTAAATGTAAAATTCTACTGTGGCTGTTACTATGAAGAAGGGGTACAGATATAAATCTACAAGTGGTATATAAAATTGTAGTGGGAATGATTCAATGCCAAGAGACCAGTGCAAAGACTCTGGTAGTCACCTAGACATAGGTTAGTGTAAACTTGGCCCACAGTGAGTGAAGGCTGTGAAGATGCATTGAAACAGATTAGATGTGGGACTTCCCTGGTGGTTCAGTGATTAAGACTCCGAGTTTCCAATGCAGGGGACATGGGTTCAATCCCTGGTAGGGAAACTACATGCCTGTGGTTCAGGCAAAAACAAAAACCAACCAACAAAGAAAACACAAATAGATTTGCCTTCATTTGCCCTAGTTACTGGAGAGAAATTAGGTTGCCATGGTGGGGTTAGAAAAACTGGTAAGATTTACTTAAAGTAAGCAAAAGAGAAAATGGGGCTCAGAGAAAAGTGAGAGAACCAAAACGTATCAATTAGCCTTTAATGTTGTTTTTCCATATCAATAAAGTGAAAGAAAGCAAAAGTGTTAGTCCATCTGTTGTGTCTAACTCTTTGTGACCCCGTGGACTGTATCCACCAGGCCCCTCTGTCCAAGGGATTCTCTAGGCAAGAATACCGGAGTGGGTTGCCATTTCCTTTTCCAGGGGATCTTCCTGACCCAGAGATTGAACCTGGGTCTCCTGCATTGCAGGCAGATTCTTTACCGTCCAAGCCACCAGGGAAGCCTTATCCATACTGCTAAGAGCACAGCAAAACTGATGAAATCCTAACACCATCTGCCTCTCATTTATCACATCCAGTTTTTGGTGTGTGCAGTGGGCTGAAGTCAGTTTGTGATAATTATCTATTACTTAGCAGATTGGGAATTATAGACTGGGGATCCTCAGGAATGATCTATTTGTTCATGTAGACAGTATTCCTGTTAGTACAAATCAAGTGCCTGGCATGTGGTAGCTCAATAAATATTTGCTGAATGAATGAGTGAATGAATGAATGAATGCCATTTCTGATGATTTGTTTCAGACCTGGGATGAGTATTTGCATATTGGTTTTTCTCTGAGGTCACAATCATCCAGATGAATCATCTTCATTCTGCCGATGCTAAACTATTACTGTGGCATCTGGAACTTAGGGGAAACAAAAGGCCCCAACGATCCCTTCTTCCCCATCCTCCAACCCTGGCCTCACTTCCCCTGCCCCATAACACTGCTGTGGAGTCCAGGTAAAGGAAGGGAAAGCAGCCCCTTTCTAAGAAAGCAGGCAGGG